CTCAGATTGAACAGTCTGTGTTGTAACTTTCTCTACAAATTCAACGTCTGATGTCGTACTTTCCTTCTCGACCTGAGAGTTTTGCGTTGTGGTTTCCTTCTCCAATTTATATACTTGTGTCATAATTTCTGCATCTTAAGATGCAGAAATTACGACACAAGTATCTAAATTGGAGAAGGAAACCACAACAACTGCCACTGATGCTGGAGTGAAAACCATAACAGAAGATAATCAAGTTGAAAAGAAAACCACAACGCAAACCTCTCAGGTTGAGCCTATGTTTAAATAAGAAAGGACTGATACAATCTTAGAATGATCCTATGCAAATAAAATCATACATTATACATTGTTGTCTTTCTTCTCGTTTTTTTTTATAATATTTTTCGTTATCGTGAAAAACCACATTGGAAATGCTGGTTCATGTTGTATACAGGTTTGTTCTAAACCGACTTACCTAATATAGTAGAATAAGTTTAAAAGCACTGACTGTATTAGTGCTGACACTTAGTTACATGTAGTTAAAATACTTTAAGACAGTGTTTGTATTAGTGCTAAACCTTTGGCCTCATCTGACAGAATACGGTACTATAAAATATCAATCACGAGTAGAATGAGCTTAAAAACAGTGTTTCTATCGTTGTCTATTAAAAACCTCTTCTCCTTTATTACCTACCGATATCACTTAAAATAAATCCAACAGTGGAACTCACGGCCTGTCTAAGTTTTTGGTTCACAAGAAATCGTATCTTTCATTCAACAGTCCCTTGAAAACTTGTTATAACGTAAAGTGTCTGTCTAATTTTTGTGATTATTGAGACATCAGTGGCCAAAGGTCAAAATTTTGACTGAGTGAAATTATAATTCTCATGACGTATCATAAAGATTTAGACGTTTCAAACTGGTTATTACTGGAAGAGACTCGAAGTGTTCAATATGAAGTGAACGAAAGTAGCTGGAGAAGACGAGACACGACGTACTTGAGCTTCAAAGGAAAATTTAAAACAGCTTCCACTCCAGACTCCGAAAACTAGATCTTGAGAGTGAATCATGATAGGCAGAGAAATTTCCAAGGGAAAAAACAAGGAAAAAATAAGCTCAACTCACTTCTAATATATTCATACCCTGTATAGTTCAATTCACTTTAAATTCACATCACGTATAGTTCAACCCACCTCAACAAAATTCACACGATATATAGTCCAATTTACTTCTAATATATTCATACCATAGTTCAACCTATTTTAAATTCACATCACGCATATTCATGCCTTCTATACTTCAACCCATTTTAAAGCCACACTACGTATAGTTCAACCCATACAACAAAATTCACACGACGTATAATCCAATTTACTTCTAAGATCTTCACTTCATAGTTCAACCTACTTCGAATATATTTACACCATGTATTGTTCAACCCACTTATAATTCTGAGATTATATTGTTTGATGACAGAATATTCGTTTACCTTAATAAATATATCAAAAAGTGTTTGTAAGATAAGAATATCGTGTTAGTTTTACTGATAATTATTCTCTTTTAAGTATTAAAAACTTATATGATACTAACCGTATGACTTTTAGAGCCTTGTTACAAACCCATCGAGGGTCTAAATACAAAATCCAGAAAATATTAATTAATTAATATTACGTTTAAAGCCAAAGCCAAAAAGCATTCATCATAAGGCGTTCAAAAACAAGTTCTGAAATGGACGAAATTCTTTCAAAAACAAATCCGGGAAGAGTTAAAATTGCAGAAATTGTTCAGTAGCCCAAAATCATTATATATATATATATATATACCAACCACGTATTCACTTATACTTTTAATGCTATGTAAAGCTCTTTAGTTATATCATATCATTCAATTAAGTTCCATAATGCACAGACCCTGGAAGCATTTTGTTGAAGTAAAAGCCTTATAATAAGAAGCTGATGCGTAAAAGCTTTGGGATATAAACGACCTTCTTGTTGGTTCATTGTCCGGAACGTTTCCTTTTTCTCAAGAGGAACGTTCTACACAAGGTCGTCTTCCAACATGATGTTTCAAAGCTTTTCAGAAAGTTCAATGTCACGGAAATTATAGACATTATGAAACTTCTTGGATAAAAAAAAAAAATAGGCTGTTGAATTCGATTTCTTGCAATACAAAAATTCACTTAATTTCGTTTTCCAATCATCCTGGGGGCGAGCTCAAGCGTTACCTAAGTTGTCGCGGATGGGGAAAAAAAATCGTATTATACTGCAGTTAACAATGGGGCGAAAGAGAATTTCAACAAATAAGTGCGATCAAATATTTAGACAAAAGTTTTACTATCTATTTCGTTTTTTTTTTTTACATTTTTTACATACAAATTTAGTTTAAAAAAATTGTAAGAAATAAAGTTTATCGACCCTTTTAGGATCACTGTTGGGGTGGCTTGTTATTTTCATTACATAACAGTCTGTTCACGTCACCACGTACAAGAATCCTAAATCAAGGGAATTTCGCTATAATTTGTGTTACGAATAAATGAGGGACTTTCATTAATTTTATTGCCAATAAATTAACATTCCATGATAACTGTGTTTCTCGGAGCTGAATCACCTCTGCCTAAGAAATGGTAACTTTCTTTTAAATATTCTTAGTCTATTGTGTTAATTTTTATTTATTATTTGTTAATTTCAACTTGAATTAATGTTCTTTTGTTTTATTACAGCACCCTTATCATCGATATTACGATCACCACGTGAAAGAGGTAATCTTTTATCAATATCATTATATACTTAACTTTCTTTGACTTCTCAGTTCCTTCAATGAAATTAATTAGTTGTCGTTATTTTGACAAACAATAATCGATGAAAGAACTTTGTGTTCGCTGATGCGGAGGTTGTTCCCCTGGCTCAAGATAACAGATGTATATTTGATCCAAATGTGTTTCCAGGGGATATTTTTAAAATGTTTAAATCATAATTTACCGTATTATTTAGTAAGATAACCCATGCTTTATTTCTGAGTTCCCTTGCTGAATTTTTTTAACAGGACACTATTATAAACTATCCTTCCTGAGAATATTATGTCAGCCTCGTTTTTAAGATATCAACGTAAGCTCGTACTTACTGAGAACACTATTTTGTTTACAGGATGTTATTACATGCTGAACCATTATGCCAACGGAGAGCAGATTGCGACAAACGAGCCATGCCTCAACTGTACATGTAATAACAGTATGCTGATGTGTTATTTGCGTGTTTGTCCTTTCGTGCGGCCTGTGGATGAAGACTGTATTGTAGAAAAGGAAGAGGGAGAGTGTTGTCCGAAGATTACTTGTCCGGAGGGTTAGTAAGCTTTCGTTTTCACGTGTGCTTTGGTATAGTACAGAGCTACAAGTAACAAAATTGCATATTTCTTTAGAAAGCTAATTTTCATGTCCCCAATTACTGATCTAAACTACATAAGAGATTAATATGGTCTCGAAAATAACACCCGACTGTAGTTTAAAAAAAATCGATATGCTTCTAGCTATGGACACGTTTCGTGTGCTTTGTTATGACATGGTGTTTCCGTTTCGGCTTCAGACTTGATCGTTGTCTGATTACTGACTTGACGATCATTTGAAGTCTGAGTATTGTTCTGTTACGATTGTGTAACCTTCTGGCGGTTAGGGGAACCTTTGAACTGAAAGGATAAACAAACTACTAGAAATGCTCAAATCGTGGAAATGGGACAAAGACAGAGACAAGAGGCAATTCATTTGGATCTATACAGCTATACAGTTAGAAGTTGTGGACACGTTATTTTACGTATGGTTTCATATAATAAATAGTCTTGAAATGATTGTTAAAGGTGAACTATGCACGTGCCAGCCGCTATCTGCACAACATTTCAGGGCAACAGTCAAGTGAATACTAGCGACCAGGCTGTAAAGAACAGACTTCGCGAATCTAAATTAAAATATAAAAGACATGTTCCAACCCAAGAGTTTACCAAACAACATCATAAAACTCTTTTGGACATTCGCCAAAACTTTGAAAATTGGTGGTAAAGTCATTTGGCGTATGTATTTTTCCCAGATGAATCAAGGTCTCATGTCTTTGCGGGTGATCGAAGGGGTTCGTGTCTGGAGAGTTGGAAATGAATGATATTATCAGTAGTATTGAACCCAGTTTTACGACCTTTTACTGAGTCCAATCAATCCAGACATTGTCCCGATACTGAATAATGTCGGATGACATACTGCCAGGACAGTGCTGGACTACTTTGATCCAAAATCTATAGTGGCCACAAACTGGGAGGCAAGAAATTTTTCAGAATGCCTGTGGAGCTTCATGGATGCCATGTGAATCAACGTCTTAAGTGGCCACTCAAAGTCATAGTGTTTGACATTACATTGATACAGGAATCGAATAGGACTATTCATACCGTTTTCCGCCAACTGAGAAGACGTAAGCCTTCCTGATGTAGATAATTTGATTAGCCAGGCTCTAATTATCATTTTGATCTTGAGGACACTCGTGTTCTACTGGTTATAGCTAGTGATATATTATTGAGAAGTAGAGTGTTTCGTTAAATGCGTTCTTCTAAGATATACTTAAATTTCAGGCTCTGTTGTTCCTTTAGTTAAATAAATGTTTTATTATATAAATGTTGCCCGTTAATTTCTTTCTTTTTTTCTTCTTGAATCCCGAGGCCGGTTATGACCATAGTGGCACCTTAGATGCTAATGCATCGTCGGTGATTCTCGGGCAGAGTTACCTAATGGCACCCATCTTCTCTCCAGGCAGCCGTCTATAATTTAGCTGTGAAAGACAAGAAGGAAATGAGCTAGTCAAGACCACTCACTGCCAACTCTTGGGCTGTTCTTTTATCAACGAATAATGGGATTGACCGTTACATTATAACGCACTCACAGCTGAAAGGAAACTCATGTTTGGTGACTAGATTCGAACCTGCGACCTCCAGATTGCGAGTCAAACGCTATAATCATTAGGTCACGCTAGGCCTTAGTTTCTTTTGATGTGGTTTACTGAATGTTTCCATTACGTTTAGTACAGGTTGACTTACATTAAGTACTTACATATTTCATTTTTGAACTTCAGACTTTTTATAAACGAATATTTGCAGTTTTATTTATATTGAATTAATTAAACCCAGTATTGCAGTAATATTGATGTGCCAGTTTTTGAAATTATTGATATGTTTTTTCTTTCATAGCTCATCAGTGTGATCAACCTTTTTTTTTTTCCAGTTTCACCACAGACTACCATTACGCTCACGACAGAAGTACCAACGACTCAAGGTCCAGGTTTGTATTTTTAATGTACGGCATGTCAAAATGATATATAATTTTCCGTTTCTCTAGTTTTACTGTCAGTAATTTTACCATTGACCCAAATTCCGCTTTGGTCAAGTAACACACAATAACATCAGTGAAGAAATACTGACTAAAACATAATTGTTGCTTTTGTAGTTTGTGAGATTGGTTGAAAAAGATGAGAGAGCTTTTGGCATGGCGTGTATTGTTCATCTTGAAGAGATGTGCATGGTTTGTGAACCGACTCAAACAGGGCAGTTTACCACAAGGACACAACTAAACGTTTCCTTTCCTTTACACCCACTATGGAAACTCACTCTCAACAGGGCGTTCTGCTCCGTCTCCATCAACTTATACGACTAGTAGTGTATAGCAGCTATCAAATAGTTTCCCTCTGTCTCACTTGAGTTATGATCTACATCTTTTGTTTTGTTTTCTCTTTTTTTCGAAATTTAAATTGTCAAAGAAATAGACATATCATTTCTGTACATAAGTCTTAAATGGCTTCTTGCAAACTGGCATTGAAAACTATTTTAATACGTTTAGACCTTTAACATTATATTAAAAAACGATCATTGGAGCATTTCATAAGTGGTTTGAGAAGTGAAACCGATTTTACTCTTGTCATCAGAAAATTAAAATACTTCCAATGAAAATGATTCTTTAGAAGTCACAAATTATGTTTAGTCATTATATATATTAAGTCTTCTTTTTCGCACCAATGAGAAATTTTTATCATATCTCTGCAGGTTGCTACCTGAATGGCCAGTACTATCAAGAAGGTGCCCAACTTCCACCGACAGAAGACAGACCCTGCGAAGTTTGCTACTGCATTTTGAATAGTACAGCTTGCGTGATGCAAGAATGCGCTCTACAAGTAGAAGGTTGTTCCCCAGTTTACCAAAAGGGGGCGTGTTGTCCTTCTCGGTACAATTGCAGTACGTAAAGAACACATCTTTTCTCATTTCAATAACACAGAAAAACATGAATTGCTACATTCATACTAGGTGTTAAAATAAAACAAATATATTTTTATATTGCTAGTAGACAACACTGACTTTCCTGAGATGTAAATTATAAAACAGGTGTTATTTAAGAGACATTTAAAAATAAAATAAATCAGTGTTTTGTAACGTGTACGTTAAGTTGTTCAAGGAAGCTTCACTTTAATATAATCAAACAAGGATCAAAGGGTTGTTCGGCCTATGTTTTTGAAATATGACAGATGAATTGAAAAACTAGTCACTACAAATAATACATATTTTAAAACTCGTAACCGAAGACTTTACTTATGTATAATTATGTGTACTAATCTCTTAATTATGTGGGAAAGCAATGAAATAATAGTAATTTACAGTTCGTTTCGTTATTTAATTACCGACTTTAGCAAGGGGTGTTATCCTTCATGATATTGTAACAACTGTTGTACGGAGCAAAGATTTTACATAAAATTACAGATATTATGTGTATCTAATCTGTTTAATTCGGGTTTGAGAATTACTTAATTATTTAATTTCAGCTAAAAACTCCGCGACGACAGCGCCACCACCAATTATGGAAGAAAAAGAATCAGGTAACTGCAGTTTTCTTCTAATAAACTTTAAGAGTGAAAAATAAGATAAAATTAGAATTGTCAGAAAAATCAACTAAAATACAGGAAAAAAGTGTTTAAAAAAAGGCGTTTCATTTTCTGCATAAACAAGTCACAGTGATTTGAATTTTACGTATCTATATTTTTCTGACAATACCACTTATAGAAAAATTTCCTGTACGTTTCTATGACAACTACTGAAAAAAATGTTTTGAATTTTGTTAATATAATTTTCGAAAGATCTATACTTTGGAGCACTTTAGAAAATAAAATCATTTTTCGATATTTATTTTTTTTTTTTTACAGAGGGCTGTATGGTAGAAAATCAGTTTTTCCCTGACGGCGAACCAGTTGAAACAGACGATCCCTGTGAACATTGCTACTGCATGGGCAACGAAGTTGTCTGTGCAATACAAACGTGTAAGCCACCAGGGAGCGCTTGTATACCAATTCCAGATCAGGAAAACAAGTGCTGTCCTGAAAAATATGACTGTCGTAAGTATAATTTTAAAGTAAAATAGAAACATAAGAAGGTACCTTAATGTTGCACAAGGATTCATATTTGTTATGTAAAATAAGATGAAAGTATGATGCAAATTTGTAATGTGATAAACAGGTTGTTATATATGTATCTTTTCAAGGCTCTTGCTATGATAAATCTAGCTTGCACCATTACAGACAATACAGTCTGTGTTAATAATTCATAAAGTGTTTACTTTAGCCTTCAACCCTTGTAGCAGAGTTTTCAAAACTAGAGTTTACTATTAACATTGGAAACAAAAATCTAATCAAACATACGTGTGTGTTTATTTATCTAGCCACAACAGATATTCCAATAATCACGACAACAGAAATGGACAACATAACCAAGGATGATGTAATTAACACAGAAATATCAGAACTTGTACCCTCAGAACAAACCCTCTCGGAACCAACCTACACAGTACATATCGATTCAGATAAAACGACTTTGGGACAGGCTACTTCAGAAGAAAACATTACCACTACACCCCATACTGTTTTAGAAGAAGAATTTATCACGACTGCTACATTACCAAAACATCTGGCTATAAAACTCATTCCTGAGAAAGAAGAGTCTATGTCTGGTAAGGAGATTACCACGGTAACAGAAAAACATGTTCCGGTCACTTCAGGAACAAAAACACCAGGAATACCGACAACTGAAACCTTTACATTATTCGCAGGAGAAAAAGTTGACGTAACTGTTAAACCAAAATTTCCCGGGAAAGAGGAAGAGTTGACATCTGGTCAAGAGATTACCACAGTAATAGAAGAGCGAGTTCCGGTCACAAAAACAACCGAAAAATTGACCACGACACAACATCCAGTCATTGTGAAACCCACAAGTAATACCAGACACGTAATAATACCAGCTGGAATTCCAGGAGAAGGTAAGTGATATAATAAAAAACTTTAAATACTCAAACACCTGGCATAACCAGGAATTCCATCGAAAGATGAGTTAAAATTGTACGTTACATATCCAGACACGTGGTAATATCAGTTGTATCTTTCTGAGAAGGTAAGTTGAAACTGTAAAACTTTTAAATCTCCAGATACATTTCAATACCATTTGGAATTTCCGTAGAAAGTGAGTTAAAGTATTATAACTTTAATTATTTAAACGCATGTTAATATGAGTTCGAATTCGATAAAAAATAATTCAGTTTATGAAACTTTGAATATTTAAATTGACAGGATTAAGATAATCAGCATCTGTTAGAGAGTATTAATATATGTGGATACAAAATCTCTGTCTATAGGTATCTGTCGCTACGGCAACAGAATATATCAAAATGGCGAAAGTGTTCCGTCTGTTGATTCCTGCACCAACGAGTGTATCTGCGTGCACAGTGTGGTCACCTGTCAGAGGGTGTACTGTGACCAGCCGAATGACGACGTCATTGACTGTATTCCTGTTTTTAGAAAGGGACAGTGCTGTCCGGAATACCAATGTAGTAAGTGGTGAAAATAAGTAAATGAATTCAGAGAAACTTTTTGACATCTTAACACAAAATCTTGGTAGCATAACGCATAAATTCTTAAAATTTTATATGGGTCTTTTAATTAGAGCAAAAAAAATAAATAAAAAATAAACTTAGTTAATTTGTTTTATTGAATATCGCGCAAAGCTACTCAAGGGCTATTCGCGCTAACCATCTCTAATTTTGAAGAGATAGACTAGAAGGAAGGCAGCTATTCAAAACCACCAACCGCCAACATTTGGGCTACTTTTTACCAAGGAATAGTGGAATTGACCATCATAGTATAACGCTCCCACGGCAGAAAGGGCGAACGTTTTCGGTGATGGGATTCGAACCCGCGAAAGGGATAAAAGAATCAGTGAAGTTAGGCTTGTGTACAAACACCTGAAATTAAGGTTAAAAAAAGCTTCATCTGAATTTAAAAAGAAAATTACCAGCCAAAATGATTTAATTACTAAAACAATTACAAAATGACAGAACATTTAAAATAATCAAGGTTGCAAATATTACATCTAAATTTAATTTACATACAGGCTAGCTTGCATATTTAATCTTCCCCTTAGGTCGGAGGTTTTCTATTTACCTGAGTAGCTATTGAGGTCGTCATAAATTTTAATATCAATTCCAGTATACTTGAAGTAACTATGTGGTTGGATTGGTTTGTTTGAAGTTAAGTACAAAGCAACACAATGATCTATCTGTGCTTTGCAGACATACCACTGTGCCATTGGGTAGCATGTGGATAGAGTTAATTGCCCCACTTCTCAAAAGCTTTCAGTTTTCAGGACTTAATATATACACAAAGTAAAAGATACAACAGTTTCAATTGTATTGTTATTGTAAGATTTATTAATTTTTGTATTTCGAAGTCTGGTAAAATTTAAAAACATCAAAAACATTAACTTTGGGTAACTGGTAAGGATTGTTTTTAGTGCTTCATAAATATAAATATTGAAATCTATTTCAGTGGTTTTCTTCGCCTGTAAAAAAAACAAAACTTTTTTGAATTTTGTAGTTCGAGAAACTGTGACAACAGAGCAGATAAAACAGGTAGAAACAACAACCAAACCGGAAAATACACATATCGTAACAAGATTAGATATTGCAGACAGTATCTTACAGAAACAAACACCAACACAAACATCTAGGATTGGAGAGAAATCAACAGCACAAACTCTTTCAGTTGAGAGAGAAATCACAACACCAGCAGTTGAAATCGGTTTCGAAATCACAACGCAAACAGCTGAAGTTGAGAAAGAAATCACAAAACTCATCAGTGAGGTTGGAGAGGAAGCAACAACACAAACTGTTCAGGCTGAAAGGGAAACAACACAACAAAGTACTGGTTATGATGAGATAATTATAACAAAAGCTGTTCAAATTGAGAAAGAAACCACACCACCAACCCTTGAAGTTGGGAAGAAGAACACGTCAGTTACTGAAGTTAAAAAAACTACAACGCACACTGCTGAAGTTGAGAACGAAATTACAGAAGTTGTAGAAATTACATCAGACGTCGCCCAATTTGAGAAAGAAACCACAACACAAGCCCTTAGAATTGACAAAGAAACCCCAACACTTGTGACTGATTTCAAAGTGAAAACCATAACACAAGCTAATCAAGTTGAGAAGGAAATTACAAACCCTGTAACTGAAATTGAAGAGAAAACAACACAAACTGTTCTGGTTGAAAAGGAGACAACAACATCAAGTACTGAATATGGAGAGGAAATGAAAACACCAGCTGTTGAAGTTGAGAAGGAAAGTACAGCAGCTACCTTTCAAGAAATTGTAGAAATTACAACACAAATCTCTCAATTTGAGAAGGAAACTAAATCACAATCTTCTGTAGTTAATAAGGAAACCACAACACAAACCTCTCAGGTTGAGAAAGAAAGTACGACACCAGTCGTTGAATTTGTAGAGAAAGTTACAACACAGACTGCTCAATCTGAGAAAGAAACCACAACACTATTCCTTGAAGTTGAGAGGAACACGACATCAGAAACTGCAGTTAACAAAACTATAACACAAACTTCTGAACACAACAAGGAAACCATAACTCCTGCTTTTGAAAATCATTCTAAGATTGTATCAGTCCTTT